TACTGGTGGTTGGCTTTGGTCGAAGTACCGCCACCTTCTGCTCTGGAGTGTAAACGCTTGTAAATGGAGCGTGTAACAAAAGTAATTTCCCTCTGGGATTATTAAAGTATTTCTGATTCTGATCTAGAAATGGAAATTTTTATAAACGCTTTAATTTTAAAAAAAGGTTTTAAGAGTAACTGCTATCTTCTCTGAAATGTTAAATTCTTTAAATCAAGTAAAACGTTTCTTTAAACTTGAGTCATGTTTAATTTCCCTTCATTAAAATTCTGCTTTTGTCAGCAGAAAATCTCCCTTAGCTCACCCCACCCCTTTCTTAATGCAAGGTAAATGTAAAGTAGCAGGTATTCGCATTTTCCGGTTACACACCCATTTTACAACCAATGCATGAGTGAATAGACTTTTTAGGGTACTTTTCTTGCCCTTCATCTCTTGTTCTGATTTGGTGTTAAAAAAAATACTCTGAACAGGATAGTATTCCCTGTAAAAAGGTAAACGTGGCGTAGTTTCCACAGTTACCTTAAAGCAGAAAGGTTTTGTGTCAGAAAGTATTCTTTTCTTTCCTCTGGAGTCGGGAGAAAAGACTTATTTCTATTTGTTTGCATGGATATAAGCAACACCTTTAGTGGTCAAGAGCAAGCTTTTATATTGGCCTTAAAAAGGAAATTGTGTAATCTTTAATACAAAAATTGCAATAAATCAAAATTAATCTGAAAGAAAATACAAAATCTGTGAAAAAACAAAGCAAGGAAAGTTAAAATGCAGATTTTGGTTAAAAAATAAATAAATAAAAAAGCCTTATAATAAACTTTGGAGAATGAGATTAAGATTTATTTTCTTGCTTCTTCATCTGAGCTAACATTGGGACTTGATGATGGATGATTTCTACCTAATTAGCTGTTCTCTGCATCACAGCAGGCAGCTTTTCACCCGCCCACACAGTAGCTCTTGTCGCTTTTTGCTAAATAATTATTTTTCTTGAATTATGAAATGAGTAATTTACATTCTGAATGACATCAGCATTGAAAAACCATTTTAAAGCCAAGCATCAAAATTCCTACTTGCTCATGAGTCTATTAGGAAAGTAGTTAATGTGGAATATGTGGCGATCAGACGCTGTCGCTGCAGCCTGTCTGACATGAAGAGTCCCCGTTCTGTAGACGTACAAGGAATGCTCTCTGCAGAGCTGTTGGTACCCGCAAACATGTCATTACACGCTTTGCGTCTAGTCACAGGCGAATCCTGTTTGACAGACTCAGTCATTCTTCATATGCGTCTGCAGAGATTATCAGCCACAATGACAGATTGTTCTGCTGCAGATAACAAACATCACATGAACTTGAATGCAGCAGATAAGCTGTGCAGTCCTGGTGGAGAACAAAAACAGGAGGAATCATGGAGAACGTTTGGGTCCGTTGGCTGCTGTAGAGCATAGGAAGTAGGGGTGTAAATTAGGGATGCACGATATTGGGATTTGGGCC